GTGCCCCAATAAATAAATTTTTGCGAAAGTTTATATTTCTTTTTTTTTTAATTAATATGGTCATCAAGTATAGATCAACACTATTATTAGTCGAGTATATTTTTTAAGTTGTTTTATGCAGTGAATCATTAGATATTATTATCATACAAAATTGTGTCTATTTATCAGTGAGTTCTACTTACTTCAATATTTTTAGGTACATTGAAATACCACTGCGAACAATGTGGAAAAAGCTACAGAAGGGAAATGGATCTTAAAAAACACGTGCTAAGTTGTTATTCTTTGTTCAAATATCGATGCAAGTTGTGCGGTTTCAGTTCCCAAAGACGCGATTATATTAATCAACATTACAAATCTCCAAGGCACATTAATGCAGTGAAGGAAGGGGTGAAGTTTGAATAATTTCTAACGACTTATATTATATTACTTTTGTTGGGAAATTGAAAAATAAAGAATATGAACGAATACATCATCAGCTTTTCTTTAAAATTGCTTTTGGTACCGTAATTCTAATTCCAGTCAGATTGGAAAGGCGAAGTATGTAGTACATCGTTAGACTGACAACTGGGACTAGTTATTTTATTACATTGACGAGTTATACCTATTTTAAGAGGACACGGCAATATAAGAATACTTTTCTTGATCAATTATTTATTATTTGCTGAGTTCGCCTTCCTAAACTGACTCCATGAGAGTATCGTAATGAAACGACTTGAGAAATACGAGAATTAGCAACTAATGTAATGGAGAAATGAACGGTGAGATCTAGACAATTTATCGGCAACTACAGTCGAACTACATTGACAACATAGACGGAAACCTCATGGCTACGACACTGAAGATGTAAGCCGCAGTTTCCGATGAAACGTCTAGACCTAATCGTTCATTTTGACCACGGTCGCGACCTATGGGCTCGCATCTTAACCCTGAAAACCTATGTTCATTATATTGATAATGACAATTGTTTAGGTATTAGTTATTAACAGGTAGCACAGAATATATTACTTTATCATCATCATCATAAGGTCGTCAGTCCTAATACTGGTTGAATACGCACCTCCACTCCTTCCTATCCTGAGCTAAGCTTCGCATTTCCTTAACACTAAAACATCCTACATCCTTAATTATTTGCGAACAGTAATCTAATCTAGTCCTACTCCTTCTCCTCTTAACTCATGTTGCTGCCTCTAATATGTCTCTCTAGACCTTCACACCTGAGAAGATATCCTACCAACCTATTTCTCATATTTTTTATTAACTTCCATAGAGTCTTCTGTTCGAAAGTTAATAAAAACTAGGAGAGATAGGTTGGTAGGACACCTTCTCCTTTATTATTCCTTTACTAATACTTAATTTGATATCAATGTGTGTACGTGAAGCTCGTGAAAACATTGTAAATATTATGTGTATCAAAGCGGATTGGACCGTAAAGTAAAGATTTTTTTTTAGATAATCTCCGGCACGAGTGCGAGCAGTGTGGGAAAAGCTACAAACGAAAGACTCATTTAAAAAGACACATGCTAGGGTGTACGTCTCTGTATCGGTATCAGTGTAAAATATGCTGTTACACTTGTAAGAGGCGCGATCATCTCAATCAACATTACAAGTCGCAAAGGCACAAAATGTTCAGCGCAATGACCAACGACCCTAATGCTGAATCAAGTTTATAGCAGAGACAGTTTATGCGACCTTTCTGAAGCAAATTTTGATATTATTCCCCTTTTAATTAATTCTTGTACCTTAGGTATATGTTAGAATTCCTCATTACCCCCCATTAAATGTATAAAAAAATATGTAAACGGTTGTAAATATTTATAAATGTGTAAAATCTATCACATGTATGTATGTAGGTATATTGGATGGTGATTGTTGTTGCATTTTGTTTAATAAAACTCGAAACTACATTCACAAGTTATTTTAGCTACTTATTTTTTATGGGGGGGCGTGACCCCTCACCCTTGAAGTTATTTCGTTCAATAAACTGCATGAATGTAAATTGAATATTCTTAAATACCTGTTGTTGTTTTATTTAAATATTTGTAATGATTTCTAAACTAATTTCAGACAAAGAACTTTATGGTTGTCCGAACTGTGAAAGGATGTATAATAGGAATTCTAATTTAAAAAGACATTTGAAATTTGAGTGCGGGAAGGCTCCGCAATTCGCTTGTCCTCAGTGTCCTCAAGCGTTTAGATATAAATTTTCCTTGCAGAAGCACTTGATCTACAAGCACTAACGATAAGTAAAACATTGTTTAAGTAGGTACGACTTGAATAGTTACTAAACATTTTAATAATTTAACTGTGGAATACAAAATTCTCAAAAAATGTAAAATTAAAGATATCATAATTTTACAAAACCGTATGTATGTTGCATTTCAAATAAATAAAAAAAAAATGAATTTTTGTTTTTTGTTTGGAAGAATTTTAAATTAATTGCAATTAATATTCTGGGGATATTGCGGACGTTATTTTTTTATAATTAATTCTATGAAAATTGTAATGTTTTGTTGTAGATATTTTTGACTGCCTATCCTGCGGAAAATGTTACAAATCAAAGGGAAATCTTACACGTCATCTTCGATATGAATGTGGAAAAGAGCCCACGATGTGTTGTCATGTGTGCAAAAAAGTTTTTAGGTATAAGGCTTCCATACAGCGACATATTGTAATGCGGCATTCTTTTAACAATGTTTGAATAAACTCTTATATTACATTATTATATTTTTTTATCGTTACCCTGGTCTTTCTTCTTGTGTTTTGTACTCCTGCGTACTACATGTAGTAGTGGCTTTGCTTACTGCTCATTTACTGAGACAGATGTTTTCAGATTGCTTTCCATGTCCATGTTGCGGAAAGTTTTACAAAAGATTTGGAACCTTGAAGAGGCATCAGAAATTCGAATGTGGAAAAGCGCCAACTCGACGTTGCCCCCACTGCGATTACGCCACGTATTATAACAATGATTTAGTGAAACACGTTTTCAGAAAACACCAAACGACTTATCCCCATACTTTTCAATAGAAATATTTCAGAGGATGAATAAAACCAGTATTCAGTTTTTTACATTATGTAGAATGTTCCTTTTGAAAACACCGACGGAATTGTGGTTCAAATCTTCATGAGTATAGTACAGTCGAAATAAGAAGGCAAAGTCCCCAGTAAATAATGCACACTAAAGGCATATCGTTTTTCTCGTTCTTACAAACGGTAGATATCCTGTCTTTATTTTCTAGACACGCCTCCTCCACAGCTGCGTCGAGACCTGCACCTACGTTTCATAAGAATCAATCGAATAAAATGAGACGATCGACACCATGCTCGTCTTGTCATTTGTACCTACATAAAATGGGCAAATTTACAGGGTCGGCTTAATTTAGTTNATAAAAAACTTAAGGAAATTCGTTATTATCCAACTTACTTTTTGTATTTATCCAAATAGAAGCACTGTGTCGCCATCTGGTAGGTATTTGCTGCTACTAAAGTGTTTCAAGGCCTCGTAGTACGGTATTTATATGAATTGACGAGGCACGTAAACCAATTAGTAAGAACGTTTGTACAATTTTAAAATTTTCATCCATTTTCCCATTTTCCTGTGTCTCTTCCAATCCCAAATCGATTAATTTGTAATTTTTATTTTTGTTTAACCCTTAGTCGTCAGTATTTTTTGAAAAAGTCGTATCCTAAATTTATACTTACTTGGTATGCATTAAATTTTGCCAATAAACAGATTTAATTAAGTTACGTTGTAATTTTAGGTGAGAAAGGAGAAAGATTTGCATGCTGCAATTGTGGAGCATCTTATAAGCAGGTGGGAAATCTTAGAAGGCATTTACGTCTCGAATGTGGTGTAGAACCGAAATATGCTTGCAATTATTGCGATAAAAAGTTCAAAAGAAAAAACTTGCTAAAAGTGCACGTCTCTTTTGCTCATTCTGTTTTATTTGAATAACGCAACATTCACAGAAAAACGTTTACAAAAAGTTTATTTCCTACATTTAATCGAATATCTTATACAATATACAGTATTTCTTTCCTATGTGATTTTTTTTTCAAACAGTTAATAAATAATACATGAAAAAAATTTGTTTTTAATTAATCCGTTTTAATCGAATTAGACTCATTTAGGTTGAGGCGTGTCTCCACTGTTTTTCGTTCTTTTTATTTCTAATTTGTGTTAAAGTTTTATTAGTATTTCAGGAGAATGTTCTTGGCATTCTTTTACACATTCAAAATCAAAAAGATCGAATTTTTGGAATTCTGGGAAGTGGTCAAACGGTTACAAAATCATTTGGTCGACCTGACTTGCCGTTTAATTTGCCCCTTGAAGATATTCAAAATGTAGATACGTTTGATGCATATTTGAAGATTGATCTACATACTGTAAAGGAATTTGTAAGAATAACATCAATCACATAAAAATAATTTAACATTTGTACCAGGGATGTTACGGAGCTTTGACTCCGGTTCCGTTAAGTCGGAACTTCCGATTATTATTACACCTTCAGTTCCGACTTCGGCTCCGACACTTTTAAATCGAAGGTTTTAATCGGAGATCGAAGCATAACATAGCGGCGGCGCGGCGGCCTGTGTCGACTGTTATGAACAGGTTCATAGTATGAACTTCATACATGTCGCGCGGGGAATCCCCCGAAAATTGAAATGAAAAAAATTT